ATTAGGAGGCCTGCGTCTTGTGACCGTAGCGTACGTATTGGTATGTACGGCAGGACCAACTCGGAAAGATAGGTAGGAGCAAGCCCATGTAACGCTTTATAGGTTAACAGTAAAACCTTGAAATCAGCCCTTGCCTTAACAGGAAGCCAGTGTAGGGAAGCTAGCACTGGAGTAATATGATCAAATTTCTTGGTTCTAGTCAGGATTCTAGCAGCCGTATTTAGCACTAACTGAAGTTTATTTAGTGCTTTATCCGGGTAGCCGGAAAATAGAGCATTGCAGTAGTCTAACCTAGAAGTAACAAATGCATGGATTAATTTTTCTGCATCATTTTTGGACAGAAAATTTCTGATTTTTGCAATGTTACGTAGATGGAAAAAAGCTGTCCTTGAAACAGTCTTGATATGTTCGTCAAAAGAGAGATCAGGGTCAAGAGTAACGCCTAGGTCCTTCATAGTTTTATTTGAGACGACTTTACAACCATCAAGATTAATTGTCAGATTTAACAGAAGATCTCTTTGTTTCTTGGGACCTAGAACAAGCATCTCTGTTTTGTCCGAGTTTAAAAGTAAAAAGTTTTCAGCCATCCACTTCCTTATGTCTGAAACACAGGCTTCTAGCGAGGGCAATTTTGGGGCTTCACCATGCTTCATTGAAATGTACAGCTGTGTGTCATCCGCATAGCAGTGAAAGTTAACATTATGTTTTCGAATAACATCCCCAAGAGGTAAAATATATAGTGAAAACAATAGTGGTCCTAAAACGGAACCTTGAGGAACACCGAAATGTACAGTTGATTTGTCGGAGGACAGACCATTCACAGAGACAAACTGATATCTTTTCGACAGGTAGGATCTAAACCAGGCCAGAACTTGTCCGTGTAGACCAATTTGGGTTTCCAGTCTCTCCAAAAGAATGTGGTGATCGATGGTGTCAAAGGCAGCACTAAGGTCTAGTAGCACGAGGACAGATGCAGAGCCTCGGTCTGACGCCATTAAAAGGTCATTTACCACCTTCACAAGTGCAGTCTCAGTGCTATGATGGGGTCTAAAACCAGACTGAAGCATTTCCTGTTCACCTCGGCTCCGGTGCTGGCGCATCCGGATCCCTCTTTACCATTCCAAGTAGAGGTAGACGCGTCCGAGGCCGGTATTGGGGCAGTCCTGTCGCAACGGTCCGGCACGCCACCTAAGCTCCGCCCCTGTGCGTTCTATTCTAAGAAGCTCAGCTCGGCGGAGCGTAATTATGACGTAGGGGACAGGGAGCTGTTAGCTGTAGTCCAGGCCCTAAAGGTGTGGAGGCATTGGCTTGAGGGGGCTCAACACCCTTTCCTCATTCTGACTGACCACCGTAACCTGGAGTACATCCGGGCAGCTAGGAGATTGAACCCTCGTCAGGCTAGGTGGAACATGTTCCTGACCCGGTTTGTTTTTAAGATCACATACATCCCAGGGTCCCAGAACGGTAAGGCAGACGCCCTGTCCCGGCGGTATGACACAGAGGAGAGGTCCATTGAGCCTACTCCCATACTGCCGGAGTCTTGTCTGGTGGCTCCGGTGGTGTGGGAGGTCGATGCGGAGATCGAGCGGGCACTGCGTACCGACCCTACTCCCCCCGAGTGTCCTGTGGGGCGGACGTACGTTCCGCTCGAGGTTCGTGATCGCCTTATTTATTGGGCTCATACATCACCCTCCTCTGGACATCCAGGTATTGGCCGGACAGTGCACTGCCTTAGCGTGAAATACTGGTGGCCAACGTTAGCTAAGGATGTGAGGGTTTATGTCTCCTCCTGCTCGGTGTGCGCCCAGTGTAAGGCACCTAGACATTTGCCCAGGGGAAAGTTACATCCCCTGCCCGTTCCACAACGACCATGGTCCCACCTCTTGGTGGATTTTGTGACCGACCTACCCCCCTCCCAGGGGAATACCACCATTTTGGTCATTGTGGATCGGTTTTCCAAGGCCTGTCGTCTCCTCCCAATGCCGGGTCTCCCTACTGCCCTACAGACCGCTGAGGCCCTATTTACCCACGTGTTCCGGCACTATGGGGTCCCCGAGGATATTGTGTCTGACCGAGGTCCCCAGTTCACCTCCAGAGTCTGGGGGGCGTTCATGGAACGCTTGGGGGTCTCGGTGAGCCTTACCTCGGGGTACCACCCAGAGATCAATGGGCAGGTTGAACGAGTCAACCAGGATGTGGGTAGGTTTCTGAGGTCCTATTGCCAGGGCCGGCCGGAGGAGTGGTCTAGGTATATCCCCTGGGCAGAGATGGCCCAGAACTCTCTCCGCCACTCCTTCACCAATTTAACACCTTTCCAGTGTGTTTTAGGGTATCAGCCGGTCCTGGCACCATGGCGCGAGAGCCAGATCGAGGCCCCTGCGGTGGATGAGTGGATTCGGCGCTCGGAGGAGACGTGGGACGCTGCCCATGTCCATCTGCAGCGGGCCATCCGTCGACAAAAGGCGAGCGCCGATCGCCACCGCAGTGAGGGACCGGTGTACGCACCGGGAGATCGAGTCTGGCTCTCGACTCGAAACCTGCCCCTCCGCCTGCCCTGCCGGAAGCTGGGTCGGCGGTTTGTGGGGCCCTTTAAAGTCCTGAGAAGATTGAACGAGGTGTGTTACAGGTTACAACTGCCTATTGATTACAAGAATATTAACCCCTCGTTCCATGTGTCTCTTCTCAGGCCGGTGGTAGCTGGCCCACTCCAAGAAGATGAGATAGGAGAGACCCCTCCGCCCCCTTTGGACATCGAGGGGGCCCCGGCGTACAGGGTCCGGACCATCTTGGACTCGAGGCGCCGGATGAGTGGTCTCCAGTATCTCGTGGAGTGGGAGGGGTACGGTCCGGAGGAACGGTGCTGGGTGCCTAGGAGGGACATCCTAGATCCATCCCTCCTGACTGAGTTCCACCGTGGGCATCCCACGCGCCCGGGTCCGCGTCCTCCTGGCCGTCCCCGAGGCCGGGGTCGGCGCACGGCTGGAGCCGCGCGTCAAGGGGGGGGGTACTGTCATGGATTCTGCCGAGGCTGCTCCTCCTCCTAGTTCGGGCAGGCTTCGGCGTTCGTCGTCCCCGGAGTACTAGCTGCCACCGTTGAATGTTTCTATGTTTGATTGCTTTTGTCTGTCTATTACACCTGTGTCCGTTTGTGTCTGATTACGTGTTCTATAAGTTGCCTGTTTTGTATTGGTTAGGTTGTGTGTTGTTTTTCGCCTGTCCGTAGTGCTGCGTGTTTGTCTCTGTTTTGTTGTTTCATTGTTTTACGCATAGTTGCGTAATTGCTCGCCTCTGTTTTGTTTTGAGGTCGATCATTGTATCTTTGCCTTGTGGTTTCACAAGTAAACTTTGTTGGATTAAGCTTCGGTGTCCTGCGCCTGACTCCCACACCACATACACCTCAGCCTTGACAAAAGTACTCATTAAAAGATGTACGCATATCACGCTGCGGCTTGGTCCACTTCACATAACGATCATGACACTCACAGCATCTAGCCTAGCTGATGCAATGATCTTTTCCAGAGTATTCAACTAATTTTTTTCTCTGGCCTCCATTGAATTATTCACCCTAATTTTGGCCATCCTACAATGGTAAAATCTCCAATAACTTTTGAACTGATTGTCATTGAGACATGAGGTTTGGACCATTGTTTTTTTTAGAGGAGTATCTACACCAGTGGAGGCTGAAAAGAGGTCAGAATGGCTCATAATAATGTCCGAAACGGCGCAAATGGAATGGCACCAAACACCTGGAAACCATGTGTTTGATGTATTTGATACCATTCCACAGATTCCACTCCAGTTACTACCACCAACCTCCTGTGATCGGTCAAAAGATGCGTTTTTGATTGGACACCCTACACATTGCCAAATAACACCAGTTAAATATAAAGGTTTGTCAGGTAGACACACTCACACTAACTGGAGGTATTTAAAGGTAGACAGCTCCTTTGGCACCATGCCAAACTGGTTCCCATCTAGATACCTGTGGAGAGACAGACAGATATTCACAGTTTAATACTTGTGTGAAATGCCAGCATTCAGAGCCCTTTCTAAAGCCACAGAGAGAGAAAGGCCAGACCATTAACCCTAACAACCCCCTGTCAGATAGTAGCACTGTCCCCACAACCCTCTCTATCTATATATCTCCCCCTCCCTCACCCCACACCCCTCTCTATCTATCTCCCCCTCCCTCCCCTCCCTCCCCCCACACCCCTCTCTAACTATCTCCCTCCTCCCCTCCCTCCCCCCACACCGCTCTCTATCTCCTCCCTCCCTCCCTCCCTCCCTCCCTCCCTCCACCTATACCCCTCTTTAACTATCTGTGTGTGTGTGTGAGTGTTGGGGCAAGGTGGGGGCAGAGAGGACATAGAGATGGGGTAATAACGGTGGAGCATTATATGACTAAAGACAGTGTGTGTGTATATGTGTGTGTGTGTGTGTAATTCTAACCCTAACACTAATTCTAACCTTAACCCTAAACCCCCTAGAAATAGCATTTGACCAAAATGTCCCCAGTTGGTAAAATTTTTCTTGGTTTACTATTCTTGTGGGGACTTCTGGTCCCCACAAGTATAGTTAAATACGTCCACACACACACACACACACAAACACACACACACACACAGTCCATGGCCCTCGTAGTGGGAGTGACATCAGTGTTAGGCCTGGGGGCCTCTGGGAGCCGAGATGGATGTCTGAGAGAAGAACTAAAATGTTTATTTATTCTCTCTCTCTCTCTCTCTCTCTCTCTCTCTCTCTCTCTCTCTCTCTCCCTCTCTCTCTCGCTCTCTCCATCTCTCTCTCTCTCTCTCTCCATCTCCATCTCTCTCTCTCTCTCTCTCTCTCTCTCTCTCTCTCTCTCTCTCTCTCCCTTTCTGTCTGTCTCCATTTTTATTCTGTCTTGACTACATTACTACAATCTGCTCATGTCCATAAAGTTCCACCTGATTTTATCATAAAACATTCGTATGATTGAAATGTTTGATGTTCTGAGGAGGAACTCACAATTCGGTGACGTTTCTGGGGATGCCTTTGGGCAGCGCACGGAGGTGTTTGTTACTGCAGCGTACCACAGTCTCCAGACACGTACACTCACTGGGACACTGAAGCCTGGGCACACAGCTCATCTCTTCCACTCCTGGAGAGTGAGGGAGGGAGAAGGTGGGTTTGATTATTCATCTAGCAAGAGAGGTTAAATAGAGTAAACGAGGAAAAGAGAGGTTAAATAGAGAGAAAATAGGAAATGAGAGGTTAGATAGAGAGAAAATAGGATATGAGAGGTTAGATAGAGAGAAAACAGGAAATGAGAGGTTAGATAGAGAGAAAATAGAAAATTAGAGATTAGATAGAGAGACAACAGGAAACGAGAGGTTAGATAGAGAGAATAGAGGAAATGAGAGGTTAGATAGAGAGAAAATAGAAAATTAGAGATTAGATAGAGAGACAACAGGAAACGAGAGGTTAGATAGAGAGAATAGAGGCAATGAGAGGTTAGATAGAGAGAATAGAGGCAATGAGAGGTTAGATAGAGAGTAAACAGGAAATGAGAGGTTAGATAAAGAGAAAATAGGAAATTAGAGATTAGATAGAGAGACAACAGGAAATGATAGGTTAGATAGAGAGAATAGAGGCAATGAGAGATTAGATAGAGAAAAACAGGAAATGAGAGGTTAGATAGAGAGTAAACAGGAAATTAGAGGTTAAATAGAGAGAAAACAGTAAATGAGAGGTTAGATAAAGAGAAAATAGGAAATGAGAGGTTAGATAGAGAGAAAATATGAAATGAGAGGTTAGATCGAGAGAAAATAGGAAATGAGAGGTTAAATAGAGAGAAAACAGTAAATTAGAGATTAGATAGAGGAAATGAGAGGTTAGATAGAGAGAAAACAGGAAATTAGAGGTTAGATAGAGAGAAAACAGGAAATGAGAGGTTAGGTAGAGAGAAAACAGGAAATGAGATGTTAGATAGAGAGAAAACAGGAAATGAGATGTTGATAGAGAGAAAAGAGGAAATGAGAGGTTAGATAGAGAGAATAGAGGAAATGAGAGGTTAGATAGAGAGAAAACAGTAAATTAGAGATTAGATAGAGAGAAAACAGGAAATGAGATGTTAGATAGAGAGAATAGAGGAAATGAGAGGTTAGATAGAGAGAAAACAGTAAATTAGAGATTAGATAGAGATAATAGAGGAAATGAGAGGTTAGATAGAGAGAAAACAGGAAATGAGAGGTTAGATAGAGAGAAAAGAGGAAATGAGATGTTGATAGAGAGAAAATAGGAAATTAGAGATTAGATAGAGACAACAGGAAACGAGAGGTTAGATAGAGAGAATAGAGGCAATGAGAGATTAGATAGAGAAAAACTGGAAATGAGAGGTTAGATAGAGAGTAAACAGGAAATTAGAGGTTAAATAGAGAGAAAACAGTAAATTAGAGGCTAATAGAGAGAAAATAGGAAATTATAGGTTAGATAGAGAGAAAATAGGAAATTATAGGTTAAATGGAGAGAATAGAGGAAATGAGAGGTTAGATATAGAGAAAATAGGAAATTAGATGTTAGATAGAGAGAATATAGGAAATGAGAGGCTAGGTAGAGAAAAAATAGGAAATGAGAGGTTAGATAGAGAGAAAACAGTAAATTACAGATTATATAGAGATAATAGAGGAAATGAGAGGTTAGATAGAGAGTAAACAGGAAATTAGAGGTTAAATAGAGAGAAAACAGTAAATTAGAGGTTAGATAGATAGAGAGAAAATAGGAAATTATAGGTTAGATAGAGAGAAAAAATAGGAAATTATAGGTTAAATGGAGAGAATAGAGGAAATGAGAGGTTATATATAGAGAAAATAGGAAATGAGATGTTAGATAGAGAGAATATAGGAAATGAGAGGCTAGGTAGAGAGAAAACAGGAAATGAGAGGTTAGATAGAGAGAAAACAGTAAATTAGAGATTAGATAGAGATAATAGAGGAAATGAGAGGTTAGATAGAGAGAAAACAGGAAATGAGATGTTAGATAGAGAGAATAGAGGAAATGAGAGGTTAGATAGAGAGAAAACAGGAAATGAGAGGTTAGATAGAGAGAAAGAGGAAATGAGAGGTTAGATAGAAAGAAAATGAATGAGGAGGTTTTGATAGAGACGAAACAGGAAATGAGAGGTTTCGATCGAGGAGGAAAACAGGAAATGAGGATTAGATAGGAAAGATGAGGGTTAGTAGAGAGAACTGAGAGGTTAGATAGAGGGAAAACAGGATGAGATGTTAGATAGAGGAGAAATAGAGTTGATAGAGAGATAGAATGAGTATAGGGATAGTTAGATAGAGAGAAAACAGGAAATGAGGGTTAGATAGAGAAGAAAACAGGAAATGAGAGGTTCGATGGAGAGAAAATAGGAAATGAGATGTTAGATGGAGAGTATAGTGGAAAGGTGGAGAGACAAAGACATACCTAGTATTTATTCTCAGTAGGAAGCAGATCCACTGGTCAATACAGCAAACAGCTCAATAACACTCAGCCAGCATCGACCACAGGTATAGGTACTGCTGAGTGTGTGTGAGTGTGTGTGTGTTTGTATGTGAGTGTGTGTGTTTGTGTGTGTATGTGTGTCATAAGCATCGATCAGAAGCCTAGGTACTGCTGAGTGTGAAATTGCTTGGTAAACAAAATAAAAACAAAGACAGTGGATACCTAGAGTCACATTCAACCTTCTTTCGACTTTGAAAGAAAGAGGAGTGATATATTGGGGAAGCATGTTCTGTCAGTCCAGTCCCGGCTGGTTAACTTACCTCCCACACAATGAGGGCCATCAACAGATAATTATCCCTATCTTAAAGGGACAGTGCCAGCCAACCCCACTCTCTTTTTCTGTATATTGTGCTTCAATCTGCAGCCTTCAGTCCCAAATGACTTGAAGAGGTTGGCATGACGAAACTTGTAACCCCCATCATAGCAGAACTGTGTGTGCTAGTGTGTGTGAGTTGACCCTAACTCACCCTCTTCACAGCGGAAGTCAGGCAGTGCCACATCCTGTAGTGGAATCTCTTTGAGGAAGGCGGGGCGCTGGCATCGAGGATTGCCCGTGACGATCTTCCTGCTTCTCAGCCAATCACCAAGCCAGACCAGACGACAGTCACAGTTGAAGGAGTTAGCCAGGAGGTTACTGATGGAGAGAGGGATTGAGAGAGAGAGTTAGACTTAACAATTACACCAATTAAGCTTTAACTTGCTGTATGTCTGTGTGTGTGTGTGTGTGTGTGTGTGTGTGTGTGTGTGTGTGTGTGTGTGTGTGTGTGTGTGTGTGTGTGTGTGTGTGTGTGTGTGTGTGTGTGTGTGCGTGTGTGTGTGTGTGTGTTAGAATTCTGCATCAGGTCGGATACCCATGGTTCCCCACGGGTGAGCCGCAAAAAAATCAGCTGGCGGGTGGAATGAAAACATTATTTTAACCCGTGGGTCGGCTCACAGTTCAGAACATTTACATTGCGAGTCGGAAACATTTGAAATCAAGATAACACATTTTTTTTTGTGCAGGAGCTTGTTGTGTTGTGAATTCCATTCTGTGAGCGGAGAGGCAGACATACAGTACCAGCTATGCAGAGACGTCATGCCCATAGTGGGTACAGGGGCACGTGCCCCCTCAGATTTGTGCTGTTTTAAATAAATACATATTTTGTATTGTGTATTTTGTTGTTGTTGTTGTTGTTGTTGTTGTTGTTTCTCTGTAATACTACTAGCCACCTAGCAATTTTATGAAGTTGTCTTTAGCCCAGATAGGTTCCCAATCTCCCAACCTCATAACTAGGGTACCAAGAAGCCATTTCAGGCTATCAATTAAGTTATAATAGCTAGCTTGTCTAACTATCTTAGCTGGCATGCCTGCTGGCAAGGTTGGTAGACTTTAGAAAAGCAAGCAACAACTAAATCTACTGAATACGACTCACATTCCTTTCAATCTTTCACCCAGATTATAGCAGAGAAGCCTATTTAGTTTTCCAGTCAGGAGGATACAGACAGCTCAAGAGGTATGCTTTGATATGCAGAAAAATAAACATATTTTTTACATAGAATTCAGCATAATGATTATGGCTCTAGATTGCAGGAAAAAAGCTGTTTCAGGTGTTTGAAAAATGCAAAAATGTTCTAACTTAAGGACGGGGAGGGGGGCTTACATTTGGGTAGTCATCTACATAAATGTAGCCTATTTTTGCAGCCTATTTTCGATTCTGGGAATCGTTTATTTAAGTTTTAAATAGGCCTAAACTATTTGATTAGCTAAACAATATTGAAAGTTAAGGTATTGTTTTGTTATGTCGGCTATAGGCTTTTATTAAGTAAGAAGGCTAATTAGAAGGCTCCTTTTCTCAAAGCGAGTGACGCATTGCATTGTGAAAATAAAAGGATATCGTTCTTAATTCATGGCATGGTTTCCTTTTCTCCAAATGATGAATAGACATGCAGACAAATTAATTCATGCAGGGAAGGGGAATAGTAATAATAGCCTTATAATAATAATAATAATAATAATAATAATAATAATAATAATAATAATAATAATTTTAACACCTACTACTCTGGAGACATAAAAACAATTAAATAAATTGATGTTATATGGCGGGTAATGGATCGGCTCTCGGAACAAATCTATGCAGGTGGGTTGTGGAGAAAAATCTGTCTAGATGTCGGATATTGGGTGGGCCTCAGAATTGATGTGGCCGGCGTCGGGCGGGTACGGCTCCAAAAAACGGACTTTAGTGTGTGTGTGTGAGTGTGCGTTTGTGTGTGTGTGTGTGTGTGTGTGTGAGTGTGCGTTTGTGTGTGTGTGAGTGTGAGTGTGTGTGTGTGTGTGTGTGAGTGTGCGTTTGTGTGTGAGTGTGAGTGTGAGTGTGTGTGTGTGTGTGTGTGTGTCATAAGCATCGATCAGAAGCCTGTGTGTGTGTATCTTACAGTGTAGACAGTGTCTGCAGGGTATCGAAGGCTCCAGGGGTGATGGTAGTTAGCTGATTGTCATAGAGAGACAGCAGGCGAACGTTGTGCATGCCGGTGAAGCTGTTGTTATGGATACAGCTGATCTTGTTGTTCCTCAACATTCTGGAATAGAGAAAACAGCTTAATTGGCATACATCCAATGTGAATTGATATGAAGTATATTGAAATGTTTATAATATCAAACATTAGGAGAAAGATATAGTGTTGGAAAAGATTTGGATGATTTCGGTCATTTATTGTGTGTGTTAGTACATGGGTAGTCTCTTTCCACAGCCGCTGTGTGGAGTGCCAAAAGACTAGCACATTAAACGTCTGTGCATGTAGGTTCTCATACATACATGCATGAGTGTGTGTGCCTACATTTGTGCCTACGTGTGCTCTTGTGTGCACCTGCGTCTGTTTGCGTCACTGCATGTGTGTGTGTGTGACTGTGTGTGTGTGTGTGTGTCTGTGTGTGTGTGTATATGTGTGTCTGTGTGTGTGTGTGTGTCTGTGTGACTGTGTGTGTGTGTGTGTCTGTGTGTGTGTGTGTGTGTGTGTGTGTGTGTCTGTGAGTGTGTGTGTCTGTGTGACTGTGTGTGTGTGTGTGTCTGTGTGTGTGTGTGTGTCTGTGTGACTGTGTGTGTGTGTGACTCACAGCATGCGTAGTCCCTCCAGTCCCTTGAACATTCCGCTGCGAACAGAGTCCAGCTGATTGGCTGTGAGATGGAGCTCGTTGACAGACCCCGCCCCCTCGAACGCCCCATCCTCGATCTCCGTGATCTTATTGTTGCTAAGGTTACTGAGAATAAATAAATAATGGTGATTAAAGAAAGATGAAAAAATCATTTTAGGGAACTTTAGTTAACTTTTTATGGGAGCAGCAGTGAGACATTAGCCTAGGTACCAGTCTGTTTAGCTAACATTCCACTCCTTCTATTCCACTCCTTGTATTCCACTCCTTGTATTCCACTCCTTGCATTCCACTCCTTGTATTCCACTCCTTGCATTCCACTCCTTGTATTCCACTCCTTGTACTTGTGGCTAAACAGACTGGTACCTGGACTAGTGAGACATTTCTTTGTCTAATTCAATTAGATATCATCACATAAACCTTAACTTACATCTTCTTGAGTTGGGAGAGGGTCTTGAAGACTCCTGTAGCCTCCAGTGTGGTGATATCATTGTTGTTCAGACGACTGGGAAGAGAGAGAGGAGAAACCAGAACATGGAATAAAGCAGAGGTTAAATAAACACAACCATGAATCCTGAAGAAGATTCAAACATGTGTGTGTTTGTGTGTGTGTGTGTGTGTGTGTGCTCTTACAGTTCAGTGGTTGAGGCAGGGATGTGTTCTGGTATCTTGTTGATTCGGAGGTTGGAGCAGTCCACCACGTTGGACTCACAGCGACATTTAGGAGGACAGACTGGATCACTGTTACACTCATTATTCAGACGGATGTCCTCAGTGCCTGAAGACACATAACACACACACACACACACAACCTTTATAAAACCTCTGTACCTGAAACACAACAAACACACACACACACACACAACCTTTATAAAACATCTGTACCTGACACACAACAAACACACACACACACACACAACCTTTATAAAACCTCTGTACCTGAAACACAACAAACACACACACACACACACACACAACCTTTATAAAACCTCTGTACCTGAAACACAACAAACACACAAACACACACACAACCTTTATAAAACCTCTGTACCTGAAACACAACAAACACACACACACACACACAACCGTTATAAAACTCTGTACCTGAAAACAAACAAACACACACAAACACACACACAACCTTTATAAAACCTCTGTACTGGAAACACAACAAACACACACACACACACACACCTTTATAAAACCTTGTATCTGAACAAACAACAAACACACACACACACACACACAACACACAACTTTATAAAACCTCTGTACACTGAACACAACAACCACACACACCACACACCACACACAACCTTTATAAAACCTCTGTACCTGAAACACAACAAACACACACACACACACACACACACACACACACAACCTTTATAAAACCTCTGTACCTGAAACACAACAAACACACACACACACACACACACAACCTTTATAAAACCTCTGTACCTGAAACACAACAAACACACACACACACACACAACCTTTATAAAACCTCTGTACCTGAAACACAACAAACACACACACACACACAACCTTTAAAAAACATCTGTACCTGAAACACAAAACACACACGAACAACTGGTATAAAAACATAACACAACACATAGAGATGTCTTTACAACTACCTCATAAGAGAGGCCTACACCTCTCTATGCCACCCACAGGCCTAGCCTACTATGGCCTTAGAAAATCACTTTCCAGGGCTGTCCACACCTCGGACGATGAACCTAAACACCCTACAGATCAGCTTTTGCCTGGCCTACCACAACCCTAAAGGTTGGAACGTACTACCAGATGAGAGATGGGTAGTGGGAGGGAGATAGGAAAGACGAGTGAAGGAGTAATGGAGAGAGAGAGAGGCCAAGAGGGAGAGAGAGAGGGAAACCAAAGGAAGAGATGAGTGCTAGAGGGATGAGATGTCAGAGAGGATTGGAGCAGTCTAGCAGAGAAGACCCCAGAGTACAGGCCAGGGAGGTAGACAAGGGTTTGAAGGAGTGGTAGAGGTAGAGAGTTGTAGAAAGAGAGAGAGAGTGGGAGGGATGATGTCAGCGGTGGAAGAAGGGAGAGAGAGATGGAAGGGAAGGAAGACAGGTGGGGAAGAAGGGAGAGAAAGATGGAGAGAGCGAGGCAGACAGGGCGGGAGGAATGAAGAGAGCGAGGCAGACAGAGAAGAGAGATGAAGAGAGCGAGGCAGACAGAGAAGAGAGATGAAGAGAGCGAGGCAGACAGAGAAGAGAGATGAAGAGAGCGAGGCAGACAGAGAGAGGGATGAAGAGATGACGTCACTTCTAATTCCTCTACCTGTTTTCCTCCCTCCCTCCCTCCCTCTATCCCTAGTTAGTGATCTGCGTCTCATGTTCCGTAGCGCTCACACGCTCAGCCCCACCCCTAAGTGAAGTTTAGGGATGATGTCATCATGCCACTGTAAAGAGTAGAGCCCCCAGAGCCACAGACATACAGAGGCTTCATCTCAATACGCTTGGAAAGTGGAGACATCGTAGAACGTTAAAAAGGAAACATTGCTGGAGACACCTTGCCGCTTTGGAGACATCTTAGTGCTTGCTAGGAAAGAGATTTGCGATGGCTAATTGGTGGTAAATAAGTGAATTGTTTCACCTCACAGTTAGCCAACATGCCTAGTTAGCCAAACTGTTTACAGTCAGTTAGCAATCACTTCTTCACTATTTTTTGCTAGCTACAGTAGCCCTGCCGTGTCAATAATAATTATTCTCCAAAAAATGTGTTTACATTTGACCATTGTGACGCGCATCCATGCATTCTCACTTTCTATTTCTCTCCTCATCACCTTTCCTTCATCTCAACTAAAGTAGCTTCCTCTCCTCATCTCCTGAGGCTGTCTGAGTGAGAGCAGGTGTGACTGAGACATGTTGTTCCATGGTAGCCATGCTATGTTCTGCTTCTATAATACAGACTGCCTTACTGGTCTCTTTTGGACTCTGAGACAAACAGCTCAGACAGACAGGAAGTACTGTACTGATGATGCTCATTACACTGTGCTGTGGACGACACACACACACACACGCACACACGCACAGACACACACACACAGGCGATGAGTGAAGTCTAATAATGCTCATTACAGAGCAAAGTGGATGAACGGAAGTAAATGTAATTTCCTGATACACAGGAAACAATGAAAGTTTCAGGATGTTCTTTGATCTAGCAGAGTGACTTAGCTTTCACTGAGACAAGAAGACTGATAAATAGAGGGGGGGGAGAGAAAGACAGAGAGAGAGAGAGGGAAAGAGAGGAAAAGAGAAAGGGAGGTAGAGAGAGAGCGAGGTTGAGTTTGTTGGGAGAGAGAGAGAGTTGTCTGCCACTACAGAGACTGAATTTTAGTAGTGTACAGTATATTATACATGCTATTCCAGTGTTTTTGTGAGTATTTGTCATAATTGTTTGAAGAGGACAGATTTAGCATTAATCAGGCTTTCCTTTAATCTTCGCAATGAATTTCCATTCAAGTCGCCTGCCAATGATAGCCCAGTATCTTTCTGAAAGATACACACACACACACACACACATACACAAACACACACACACACACACACACACACACACACACACACACAATATTCCTAAAGTTATTTTCTTGGACGTTCCCTTGTTAAGGACTCCTGAAACATCTGCTGATAGGAATCTGGGTCCTCTGGTGGGCTGTATTTTCTTTAGCTTTCTTCCTACATAGTCTCTCATTCTCTCCATTTCATTCTCTCCCGTCTATCGTGCACACACATACACGTTTGTCAGTGACTGTGCTTGTGCCAAAGCAAAGAAGACCTTCCTCCAGAGTCTTTATCAGAGTTAGTCTGAGTTATACATACAGAGCTGAGGCATAGGGCCAGACAAGGAGACACACACGACTTATGGTAAAACACAAACCTCGAGAGTTAACTCATTCCAGTTAGATGGAGAAAGATTTAGAGAAGAGGGGAACTACAGAATGAATGGAGGGATGGAGAGGTGGATAGTGAGGGAGAAAGACATGTGAAAGCGTGAACACAAGCCACTCACCAGGGATGAAGTATTGTTCCTTGGCTGTGATGGAAACAAGAGAGGAGCAATGATGTCAGTCAACACAGATCCACATCCTCACATACACTCATGGCCAGAAGTATGTGGACACCCCTTCAAGTTAGTGGATTCGTTGCTGACAGATGTATAACATTGAGCACACCGCCATGCAATCTCCATAGACAAACATTGGAAGTAGAATAGCCCATATTGAAAAACTCAGTGACTTTCAACGTGGCACCATCATAGGATGTCACCTTTCCAACAAGTCAGTTCTTCAAATTTCTGCCCTACTAGAGTTGCCCTGTTCAACTGTACGTGCTGTTATTGTGCAGTGTAAATGTCTAGGAGCAACAACGGCTCAGCCGCAAATTGGTAGGCCACACAAGCTCACAGAACGGGACCACCGAGTGCTAAAGCGCGTAGCGCATAAAATTCATCTGTCCTCGGTTGCAACACTCACTAGATGGTTCCAAACTGCCTCTGGAAGCAACGTCAGCACAATAACTGTTCTTTGGGAGCTTCATGAAATGGGTTTCCATGGCCGAGCAGCAGCACACAAGCCTAAGATCACCATGCGCAATGCCAAGTGTCGGCTGGAGTGGTGTTAAGCTCGCCACCATTGGACTCTGGAGCAGTGGAAACGAATTCTCTGGAGTGATGACTCTTGCTCCACCATCCGGCAGTCCAACGGACGAATCTGGGTTTGGCACATGCCAAGAGAACGCTACCTGCCCCAATGCATAGTGCCAACTGTAAAGTTTGGTGGAGGAGGAATTAAGGGTCTGGGGCTGTTTTTCATGGTTTGGGCTAGGCCTGTTAGTTCCAGTGAAGGGAAATCTTAACACTACAGCATACAATGACATTGTAGGCTCTTTCCTGTTTCAGCATGATAATGCCACCGTGCACAAAGCGAGGTCCATACAGAAATGGTTTGTCGAGATTGGTGTGGAAGAACTTGACTGGCCTGCACAGAGCCCTGATCTCAACCCCATCGAACACCTTTGGGATGATTGGAAAGCCGACTGCGAGCCAGGCCTAATCGCCCAACGTCAGTGTCCGACCTCACTAATGCTCTTGTGGCTGAATGGAAGCAAGTCCCTGCAGCAATGTTCCAATATCTAGTGGAAAGCCTTCCCAGAAGAGTGAAGGCTGTTGTAGTAGCAAAGGGGGGACCAACTCCATATTAATGCCCATGATTTTGGAATGAGATGTTCAACGAGCAGGTGTCCACATACTTTTGGCATGTAGCATATATATGAGATACAGATGTGATACAGATAGTCATGTATGGTTATATAAAGGATTTGTAAAATCCAGTATCTTTCCCAAATGTCCCGATTTTCCAGATATCCTGGTTGGAAGATTCCTGGAATTACGAGGGAATAAGCAGGAAATCCAGGATCCTCCAACCAGGATTTCAGGAAAACCAGGGCATTTTTGGAAAGTTACAGGAATTTTGCAACCCTAGCTTTATATGATTTTCTTCATAAATGGCAGAGCGGAGAGAGAGAGAAGAGAGAGAGAGAGAGAGAGAGAGAGAGATAGAGAGAGAATTGTGAGAGAGAGCGAGAGAGAGAAGAGAGATAGAGAGAGAGAGATAGAGACGAGAGAGAGAGAGAGAGAGAGAGAGAGAGGAGAGATAAGAGAGAGAGAGAAGAGCAACAGAGAGAGGGTCAGATAGAGAAATACACATCAACCAAGAGGAATCATCAGAGCAGTCCATGATTATTCACCATGTCTAGGCAGACACCAGATTGTAAACCAGCGTGGGCGAGAGTGAGTGTGTGGAGAGAGGAGTGCCAGGCTGCCAAGCCCTCTGCTCTAACACAGTATACTGGCAGAGAGACACACAGCCAGACAGAAACACTATACTGTACCCTATGGGTGCCAGAGACAGGGAGGGCCAAGGGGGTGGGATTGGGGAATGGGCAGGGGAAGTGAGGGGGCATGGGGATCAGGGAGGTGGGAGTGGGTATAGTAAAGGGTGGGAGTGGGTATTGGTAGTGCATGAGAGTAAGGGGGTGGGCACTGCCTGAAACCCACTATGCCTGACAGGCAGAGGAAAGGGCCTGGAGGTAGGGAGAATTGGGGAAGGGGGAGGAAGGATGATGAAGGGGCAGAGCGGGGGCAGGGGTATTTGAAATTGGCAGAGACAGAGAGGTACTGTAGTGGGCACATGGCTAAAGGAATTGGACACGGGCAGAAACCCTAGCCACAGCGCCAGCCTTACCCAGTGATGTCAGCTCTCTGTGGTGTATAGTGAAATCAGACTCACTATGTGTTACTGTGCTATAAAACCTGCTAGAGGTTTGGAGGGGTGTTGAGGGAGGGAGGGGGGGGAGGAGGGAGTGATAAATGATCAACAACTAAATTAAAACCCTTGGTAAGGGATAAAGTACTATCCTGTTGCTGTAATTAGAGAAGGAGAATGAAAAGGAGAGTGAGGGAGTGAAAGAGAGGAGTATTGATTGGTCTGAAGCCTGCTGGCAGAGTGGAGAGAGGGAGAGCATTTAAGATGGAGTGATCGCACAGAGTGGAGAACGTCTAGAGTGATGAGGAAGGAGACAGAGAGGGAGAGAGAGAAAGAAAGAATAAAGCAGAAAGCAAGAAAGCAAGAAAGAAGAAAGAAAGAAAGAAAAAAAGAAAGAAAGAAAGAAAGAAAAGAAAAGAAAGAAAGAAAGAAAGAAAGAAAAAGAAAAAAGAAAGAAAGAAAGAAGAAATGAAAAGAAAGAAGCAAGAAATTAAAGAAGAACGAAATAAAGAGAAAAATCTTGGAGAAGATATCGAGCTATATAGAGAAAGAGATAGCAAGAATAGGAGATATAGAGAGATAGCGGAGCAGGAGAGTCTAGCGATATAGATATAGTCCAGGAGAGATATAGAGAGAAGATAAAAATATAGATAAAAAGATTTAAGAATAGATATTATAATATAGAAAGAACTTGGAATAAGAACGTAAGCACCTTAATAGAAGATACATAAGAAAGATGCCACCCCCCCTACCAACGCGGGAAATTCTTGCTCTTTAAACTGCCCATGCGTTTTGTTTTGGCCATCGTCTGTGGCTGTTACAGCGGGCACCGCTTTTCTCTATGGGTTGGAGCGCAGGTAGTCTGCCAGCCACTTCATATTACAGTCACAGATAAACGGGTTCTGGGCCAGGTGACTGAAGAGAGAGAGGGGGGAGGGCGGGAGGGAGAGATAGAGGGGGGAGAGAGGGAGGAAATTCCATGTCAGTAATTTAGAGGAGGGTAGCAAATTCCATACCAATTTCATTTTTGTAAACAGTCAAAAAAAATGTCACTCACTGTGTGACATTTTAAAGATGTACATCTGTGTGATTGTGTGTGGCATGGGACCTATGTGGTGGTCATGAAGGCCTAAGGTATGTAGCTAATGGGATCTATGTGGTGGTCATGAAGGCCTAAGGTATGTAACTAATGGGAGCAATGTGGTGGTCATCAAGGCCTAAGGTATATAACTAATGGGAGCTATGTGGTGGTCATCAAGGCCTAAGGTATGTAACTAATGGGAGCTATGTGGTGGTCATCAAGGCCTAGGGTATGTAACTAATAGGAGCTATGTGGTGGTCATCAAGGCCTAGGGTATGTACCTAATGGGAGCTATGTGGTGGTCATCAAGGCCTAGGGTATGTAACTAATGGGAGCTATGTGGTGGTCATCAAGGCCTAGGGTATGTAACTAATGGGATCCATGTGGTGGTCAACAAGGCCTAGGGTATGTAGCTAAGGGGATCTATGTTGTGGTCAACAAGGCCTAGGTTAGGTAACTAATGGGATCTACAGTGCATTCTGAAAATATTCAGACCTCTTAACTTTTTACACACTTTGTTACGTTAAAGCCTTATTCAAAAAAAGTGTATTTCTTTTCATTCCCCCATCAATCTACACACAATACCCCATAATGACAAAGTGAAAACAGGTTTTTAGTAATGTTACCAAATTTATATAAAAAATAAAAATAAAAAAACGTATTTACAGAAGTATTCAGACCCTTTGCTATGAGACTCGAAATAGAGCTCAGGTGCATCCTGTTTCCATTGATCATCCTTGAGATGTTTCTACAACTTGATTGGAGTCCACTGTGGTCAATTCAATTGATTGGACATGATTTGGAAAGGCACACACCTGTCTATATAAGGTCCCACAGTTGACAGTACATGTCAGAGCAAAAACCAAGCCATGAGGTCAAAGGAATTGTCTGTAGAGCTCCGAGACAGGATTGTGTTGAGGCAACAGATCTGGGGAAGGGTACCAAAAACATTCTACAGCATGAAGGTCCCCAAAAACACAGTGGCCTCCATCATTCTTAAATAGAAGAAGTTTGGAACCACCAAGACTCTTCCTAGAGCTAGCCGCCCAGCCAAACTGAGCAATCGGGGGAGAAGGGCTTGGTCAGGGAGGTGACCAAGAACCCGATGGACAGAGCTCCAGAGTTCCTCTGTGGAGATGGGAGAACCTTCCAGAAGGACAACCATCTCTGCAGCACTCCACCAATTAGGCCTTTATGGTAGAGTGGCCAGATGGAAGCCACTCCTCAGTAAAAGGCACATGACAGCCCACTTAGAGTTTCCCAAAAGGCACCTAAAGTCTCTCAGACCATGAGAAACAAGATTCTCTGGTCTAATTAAACCAAGATTGAACTCTTTGGCTTGAATGCCAAGTGTCCCGTCTGGAGGAAACCTGGCACCATCCCTACGGTGAAGCATGGTGGTGGCAGCGTCATGCTGTGGGGATGTTTTTCAGCGGCAATGACTGGGAGACTAGTCAGGATCGAGGGAAAGATGAACGGAGCAAAGTAAAGAGAGATCCTTGATGAAAACCTGCTCCAGAGCACTCAGGACCTCAGACTGGGGCGAAGGTTCACCTTCCAACAGGACTACGACCCTAAGAACACAGCCAAGACAACGGAGGAATGGCTTTGGGACAAGTATCTGAATGTCCTTGAGTGGCCCAGCCAGAGCCCGGACTTGAACCCGATCGAACATCTCTGGAGAGACCTGAAAATAGCTGCGCAGCGACACTCCCCATCCAACCAGACATAGCTTGAGAGGATCTGCAGAGAAGAATGGGATAAACTCCACAAATACAGGTGTGCCAAGCTTGTAGCATCATACCCAAGAAGACTCAAGGATGTAATCGCTGCCAAAGGTGCTTCAACAAAGTGCTGAGTAAAGGGTCTGAATACTTATGTAAATGTTTATATATATTATATATATATATATATATATATATATATATATATATAATATATATTATATATATATATATTTT